TTGTGCTGCTGTAAACTCAAGGCCTTTGTCATTACATCCGCAAGTTGTTAGGTTGTTGAAATATATTCTGTTTTTAGCACCTTTTTTATATTTGTTTTCGGATGAAATGACAATTGATTTCGATATGATTTACATCTGATTAGGAGTTATTTGCATCGCAGCTTTACTATCACAAAAAAATGTTTTACTGCTCTATTCATTTCAATCCCAAGATCCTTAAGTAATCTTGTCAACCATACTATCTCTGTTGTAGCCGTGGTCATGCTTTTATATTTAGCCTTGGCATATGATCTCACTACAGTACTTTATTTCTTTGACTTCCAAGAATCGATGATATTCCGAGCTTCACGCAAAAACTTGCGACTGATCTCCATGTCATGGGGCACGAAGCCCAATCTAAATCACAAAAAGTTACTAATTAACATCCACGTGCTGCTTTCATTAGAACCCCTTTTCATGGCTCATTTTTAACATATTTTACTACTCTAAGTGGGATGCTTTTTTATTTTGCATGAACAAACTAAGATGATTTATTGCATAAGTGATAATTGCTTTCGTGTGGGTCAAGTATATTCGCCTTTCAACAAGTCTTTGGTAAATTAATTTGTCCTCCAACAAACTGTCTTCTTTATGTTGTTGTGTAATCTCATCTAGTTTTATTGTAGTCAACTTCAAAATTTATTCCAACAGTGATAAAACAGGTTTGGCTTTCCCAAATCCAATATCTCTGATGAGCTTCATGGTGTATTTGTGTTGATTCAACAAGATACTCTCTTCTAAGAAAATATTGTAATTCACCCAAATCTTTCATTCTGAAATTTCGATTTAAATCTCTCTTCAAGTCATTAATCATATCAACATAGTTTCCAATTATTAACAAAGCATCAGCACACACTAATAGTATTACAATCTTGTTGTCAATCTTTTTAGTGAACAACGAATAATCATACCTACTCTATTTAAAACCCACACACAAGAAAGTCTATGTGAGTCTGATATTTCACTACCTAGAAACTTGCTTTAATCCATACAAGGATTTGTGTCCTCTTCCCCTTACTACAAAATCCTTCAGGTAAATCCATGAAAACCTCTTCAGATAAATTGTCTTATAAAAACGCGTTATGAAGATCTATCTGAAACAAGTCATTGAAAAATTACAACGAAAGCAAGAACAATATGAACAGACGCCATTTTCACGACATGAGAAAAAGTGTCCATGTAATCAACACCCTCTCTTTGATTGTATCCTTTTACAACAAGACGAGCTTTAAATTTTTCAACCTCACCTGATGCACGATACTTAACTTCATAGACTCGCTTATTATTTAGTTCCAATGCTTGTAATTCCTCCTTCATTACCTGTATCCAACTGGGTTCTTTAATAGCCTCAAAATATGAAGTAGGATCGATAATGTTGGAAACAAAAGAAAGAAAAGTTTGAGTACTAGAGGATAAATAATTATAAGAGAAGGAAGGTGTAGAAATGAAAGAACCTGAAGATGAGGAAGATTGGTGAGTGCTCACAAAATCGTTAAGCCAACCAGGAGACTTAACAACCTGAGAAGATTTTCTTCAAGTAACTAACAAAGGCAAGGAAGAATGAGCTGTACTTACTGAAGCAGGAACAGAATCATCAACAGGAACTGATGCAGAAGATCGAAGCTCTGAAGTAGGATTACCATCATGTTTGTGGACATGTTCGGATGCAAGAATGACATAATTAGGTAGAGGGTTTAAATCAGGTGTATGATTAGGAGGCTGTAAAAGCAAAAAAAATCTGAATCTGATATAGAAGGTGTTGAATGAAAAAAACTGTTAGTAAAATTGACAACTATTTATATACAAGGAAAATTGGACTTAACGGTTCACTAACTAATTTGTAACTAATCTAACTGCACGATTAAATACTTACTTTCTACACCAACAGTCATTTACTTTTGAACCTCGAATGTGTCACCTCTAAATGCTATGTTCCTCTCCTTTAATGCAGATCATTGAGATTTATGCTTTATAACTGTTGCCCATTTTGTTATATACCAGAGTTTCTTTCACTCTGCTTGTCTTTATCCATTCTCTTAATGAAGGTTACAGAGTTTAACGACCGTTTTCCTGATTCACGGCGATGCTTCAATATGGTACTAGAACCAGTCAGTGGTTGCATGAATTTTTTTTGCCCTATTCGCTTTCTCTCTGTAGCCACGGAGTTTGCCAATAAACATGTCAACGTAAGACTCGATGACTCATGTCAACGTAAGACTCGATGACTCGACCTTTCTCCAAAGATTCTTAAATTTCAGTACTCCAAAAGTAAACCCAGTGAAAGGTTTAGCTTATGAAACAAATAATTATTTAATACTACAGTGTGTTACTTGAAATTAGTATATGCCTTTGTGGCTAAAAACATGGAGCATTGGGTGTGTTCACTTACAAACTCCCTGTGGATATTCAAACACATCACATCAACAACACAACGTGGTCTCCATGGGGACAGTAAAGTCTGTCGGTGTCTGTAATATTTTTTTTCAATTGTTTTTGCTTTCAAGTAAAACACAATAATAGAGTTAGAAATCCTTGATGATAGGTAAAAACATATTACTAGCAAGTTTTCATGCAATAAACCCCCCCCCCCCCGAGTCATTATTGTTTTTCTCTTAAAAAGTAAAATTATTTAAAATTAAATCTTAAATTTAATTTCTATTAAGATTAAAACAATGTTATTTAACAATACACCACATACTCAATTGATAAGAAATTATTTAATTTGAACAAAGAAAGAGAGATCTAAGTCATCATTGTTATAAGAATTTGGATAATGTTACCATGCTTGTCGAGCGTAGATGAACACAGTTAACGAATAATATCATTAAATTAATTTATAAAATATTAAATTATTAAGTATTAAACGTATAATTATAAATTAATTAAAAATTTAATTTTAATTTAATTAAAATATAATATTTATAAAATATTAATTTTTATAATTTTATTTTAATTATAATTAGATTACATTTTAATTTGGGAATTTGATAAACCCTAATTTATTTTCATAGCTCTGAAGCTCTCGCCGTTGTCATCGCTGTCGTTGTCACCGCTGTCCTCGTCACCGTAGCTACCGCCGGCATCGGTATCATCTTTCACCATCAATTTAGGGTTTATAAATTTCCCAAATTAATATTTGATCTAATTATAATTAAAATTATATTATAAAAACTAATATTTTATAAACATTGTATTTTAATTAAATTACATTTAGATTTTTAACTAATTTATAATTATACGTTTAATACTTAATAATTTAATGTTTTATAAATTAATTTAATGATATTCTTCGTTAACCGTGCTCATCTACGCTCGTCGAGCGTTGTAAAATTTTTCTAAGACTTTTATTTAAATATCTACCTCAAATCGAACAAGACTACTCTAAAATGATCAAACAAACAAAAACATACAAGTAATAAAAAAATATCTTAAAGGGTAAAAAACATGAACTTTTAAAGAAGAAAAATCAATTAAGCCTAGTGACTTTTTTCATCTAATTTTTTTTGAAAGGGAAAGTTTTACATGTGATAATCATGAAAACATACAAAACGACGACAACGATAAGATTCGTTAAAAAATCTTTATAAACCTAAATAAAAGAAAAAGAACGTACAAAATCAAAATTCAATATATTTCATATATTACATCAATTAGTTAATGTGATATATTATATCATGATATTATCATATGATATTTATTCTAAATTTATTATTTTTTAATATTTTTTATATATTTTTAAAAATATTTTAGAATTTCCATAATTATTTTTTAAAAATTTATAAATTTCACGTGAGAAAATCATAATGGGACAAACGATAATAATAATAATTTTTTAAAAATTATTTTAATTAAATAGTTAAAATTAATAAAGGCATTAATTAATTATATTTTCCAATTTAAAATTTTAATTGTTTTAGTTTCTTATTTTAAAGATTTAATTGAATTTACAAGATTATAGACTTTTTTTTCTCAAGATTTTGAACTCTATATGCAAGTAGTTGCTAAAGCTTCAGCTACAAAGGTGTAAATTAACATGTAGAGTATGACAGCTAGTTTCTTCATTTGTTTAATGTTCTATGTCAGGATGCTGCAATCTTATTGATTATAATATCTTGTTCTTCTTTAAATTATTCGAGTCTCGAGTGGCGCAATTCTCAATTAAATTAAATAGGTTAATTACACCATGTATCATTAATTTATGGGTTAAATTTTATATTGGTTAATATTTTTTTAAATATTCCAATTAAATCCTTAAACTAATATATCATTCCGATTAGTCCTCTTAATTCAATTGTGTGTTTTAGTATCCAATGTTAGCTTAAATTTAAAATGTTTTAAAAATTATCCAATTGACACATCTCATTATCTAATTGATATCAACGGACCATAAAAGAAGTATCAAAGTAATACACAGACATCAACATACACAGCAAAGCTTTAATCTAATTTTTATTAGCATGCGCGTCACACCAAAATTAACATATTACACCTAAATCAATATGCACATCACATCCAAACCAATATAATACATTCAATGTCAAAAATTATAACATTGAATATCACAAAATTAACATTCAATATCAGTAGTTAAGGAGAATATTATTATTCCTAAAGATCTTAGGTTCGAATAATTATGTCTGCAGGATGTGTTATCAATAATTAATTTTTTTAAATAAGTATTATCTTATAATCCCCTTAAATTATTTTATAAAAAATAACCAAGAGTCTTTTAGCAAAACATCATATTTAAAATTAAATTTTAATATTTATAATTGAAGTAATTAAAATTTAGTGATATAAATAATACAATCACTAAAACTAGGTGGTAGTTTGCCCTTTTAAATAAAGCGACCAATTTGTCTTTTAGCAATTGTTTGCCCGTAACCCCCCCCCCCCCAATATGAAATGACCAACCACACTACAAAAGTTGAGTGGTGTCCAGTCTAAACCACTATCGTCCAAAACCCAGGTTGAAATATTGAAAGTTGAAACTCCAAAACTTTGCATCACTCATAAGCTCTTCTCCTTCATCTTCACCACCACTGATCTGCATTCGGAAATGGAAAAGAAAAATCACACGCCCAATAATAAGCAAAATCCTGTCTCCATCCTTTCTTTTCTTCTTCTTCTCCTTTCTCCATCTCAGGGCCTGACTTTTCCTCAGGACATTTTAGCTCTCAAAGCCTTCAAGGCCTCCATCAAGCCAAGTTCAATCCCTTCATGGTCTTGTCTCGCTTCATGGGACTTCGCCACCGATCCTTGCGCCATCCCTCGCCGCACCCATTTCACTTGCGGCGTTACTTGCTCGGTTGACTCAACTCGTGTCACCCAAATCACTCTTGATCCTGCTGGTTACTCCGGCCAACTCACCCCACTCGTTTCCAAGCTCACTCAGCTCTCTTATCTTGACCTTTCTGATAACAAGCTCTTTGGCTCTATACCTTCTTCAGTTTCTTCTCTACGTAATCTTCAGAGTCTGATTCTCAAATCCAACTCGTTCTCAGGTTCAATTCCTGACTCGGTTGCGGCTCTCAAATCACTTGAGTTCTTGGACCTTTCACATAATTCTCTTTCTGGACCTTTGCCGAAAACCCTGAACTCACTTTCTAGTTTGAGGAGACTCGATATGAGTTACAACAAACTCACTGGTTTTCTGCCAAAGCTACCACCCAACTTATTAGAGCTTGCTCTAAAGGGAAATTATTTATCCGGGTACATCTCAGAATCATCTTTCGATGGGTTAACTCAACTGGAAGTTATCGAGCTCAGTGAAAACTCGTTAACCGGGACACTCGGAGCTTGGTTCTTTCTCTTACCGTCATTACAACAGGTGGATTTAGCCAATAATAGCTTCACACGTGTCGAGATCTCGAAGCCCGGTGGCAACAGCGACCTCGTGGCCGTCAATCTCGGGTTCAACAAAATCGAGGGAAACGCCCCTGCCAGCTTCGCTGACTACCCTCTGCTGTCATCTTTGTCGTTGCGTTACAACCGCTTACGTGGCGCCATTCCATTGGAATACAGCAAGAAGAAGTCGTTGCGACGGTTGTTTTTGGATGGAAATTTTTTGATCGGGAAACCTCCGTCGGAGTTTTTCGCCGGAAAGACGTCGGTTTCCGGTAGCTTGGGGGACAATTGTCTAGAGGGGTGTCCGGGATCTTCCCAGCTATGCAGTCCACTACAAAAATCTAACGCAGTTTGCAAGCAAGCTTATGGTGGAAAACCGAGGTCTTAGTGTCAGATTTGTCGGACCATTTTCTCATTTTTTAATTAGAGTAAAATTAAAAATATCATTAAACTATCTTAAAATAGTTTTATCACCATGTCCAATTGTCAATAAATATGTAATAACAAAATATTGGTTTAATGTTTAGGTTGGTTCTGTGCTTTGATATTAATATGTTTTGACAGCTACTAATTCAGAGTCTTTCACTATTGTAATTCATTATGCGGTACATTTGTTCTCTCATAAATGACCTATTCTGGAACCACCAAATTTATAATTTGTATGACTACTTAGACCTAGAAGAACTTAAAGACACTTGTCCTGGAACCACCAAAACTTGCCACTTAGGTTACTTTAGAGGCTTACTTGTGATTTATTCTATGGATGTAGATTGAATTTATTAAATAAAATGTTTTAATTACACTTTTCTTATTGGTCATAAATCATAATCTACAATCGCCCATCCGTCTTTGGTAATCTTGTTTTAGCCTTTCTCTGGCATACTATGTTGAATCAATTATTTTACAGTTACAATCCTTACAGTTGGTTGGCTTTTTTGTCAATACTTCTAGTACTATGCATTTGGTTAATTTTTGTTTCCCCCATTGTTGAATGAATTTGTAGATTATTAATGATGTTAATTCTTGGTTAAAATCATTCCAAATGCATCACGTTCTCAAACGATTTCATTACATTTTTTTCAAACTATTAAAATCTCATATTACATTAGAGAACAATGCAAAAATGAAGTGGGATAAACACTACTAGAACCTTTGTTCCTCGCCCATGACCTCATAAAAACCCTAAATCCCGATATCAATCTAATTTGTTATGCCTTTAACAACCTAATATCAAATTTAAATATTAAAAAATTAAAATTGTTTAGCTTTTCTAAAGAAGCATGAAAAGGACGAAATTTTTCAGACTTGGGATTAGGATGGGTGTTTCAGATTCTTTTAAAAAAGTAATAAAGTTAAAACTTTTTCCTCTGATATGAAAGCCTCGAGAGAACAAATTAACACTGTTCCGAATTAACTTTTCGAGGACTCTTTTTTCCACGCCTACACTATGAAAAAAATAATATTATTGATATAGTGTATTATAAGATAATATTTGTAATGTTTTTAATTGGTTGATAATGAGTTATTGATCCATCAAAATGAACCAAAGTGTTAGAAGACGATGGTTTTTTTTTAAAAAAAAATAAAAGATTGAAGTATTCATCACATGATATATAGATTAAGCCAAAGAAATTTGTTTCAATATGTTATATATGGTAAGAAATTACATCTGTTTAGTGAGCTCATTTATTTATAAAAGATTTGCTGGTGGGATGGCAAAACAAAGCACATGCCACAAATATATCCACGTGATTTTGCTTTGTATTTGCGTTTGCATTTTTCCATATATTTCTTTTGGTTTCAAACTATTCCTACTCGAACAAGATTACTACTAAAACATATTAATATGGAATATAATTATAAATAAAAGATATCGAATATACTAATGTTCTCTAAAAATCTATTTCGGGTAACATGTATAGGATGTGTAATTTAAAATAAAAGAAAATAAAATATTTAAAGCATGCCGACTTCTTTCTCAATTTCAATGAGTGTTAAATCAATTTTATTTCTAAGGGAGAAAAGAACAGGACAGTGGTTATAGGAGCATGAATCTTCCATGTTCGTGATATTGTCGGACAGCCAATGGAGACCTTCATAGAGCCCATGTCCCGTGTAAGCTGAGGTGTTTTGGATAAACCTGCCACACAAATTCCATTCCTTTTACTTACAATCAAAGATAGATCAAGAGAGCAGTTATTCTCCTAAACAAAATTAAATTTTTCATATAATTTAAGTATTTCTTTTGTTCCAAGAATTCTCCCTAACATAAAATTTTACGATGTCAACCACAAATAGCACAAGAAGAAAGAGAAAAACAATTACCAGGGTCGCCGACCAAGACAGTATAAACCTATCAAACATTTTGATTATCAAGGGATTACTAACATCGGCTAAGGCCCAGTGGAGTTCTTTCCGGGCTTCTGAGATTCTTTCCCTGTCGTTGCTGTCCACCACAAAGATTAATGCCTGTACGTTAAGGAAGTAATGTTTCCACAATGGCCGAATCTGTATTATCATGGACCAAAGTAAAATTTTAGGTCAAGAGCGAATTATAAAATTTTAAAAGTCGAAATTAAATGATCGATAGATAATGTAAAGAAAACAATTATCTGAAAATTTTAAAATTTCAAGGACGGTCGATCAACCCCTCGATCCATCCATGTGTGTTATGATATTCAATTGACCTCTCCCTTAAGTATTTCATTAGCCAAAGGAAACGAATGATGTATACCTTGCTTTCTCCTCCAATATCCCATACATCGAAGCATATATTTCTGTACTGTATGCTCTCTACATTAAAACCTGCTCCATAAAAAATTGGAACAAGAGGCACTGGAACAATTAGCCAACTTTCCATTAAAAAATAGTCAAATTCTGGTTTGGGTCCCTCTACTATACTCAAATTTGTGATTTGGTTTGTATACTTTATTTTGACATGATTTGGCCTTATACTTTTAGAATGTCATCATTTGATCCGAATAGGTTAAGACTGTTAATTATTCTGGTTAAAATGTTAACGTGGTTTTTTTCTTTATAACAGCAATTCCAACAACTAAACATTAAACACTTTTGCATGATGAATAAGAAGGGGTGTTTTGAAGAAAAAAATCCACAACAATATTTTCATCTTAATAGTTAACTATTGACAAATTAAAGTATGTCATCTAATTTCCAACCCAGAACATAGCAGAATGATCAAAACAACAATTTAACCAAAAATCTTTTGAATCAATCACAACTAGCTGCAGTTGTATTTTCATTGTCTTGTTCCTTCCTTTCTAGGGTATGGATATCATCTAATTTCCAACCCAGAACATAGAAAAAGATAAAACAAGGATACCTGAAACAACTTAACATCAGAGAAAATAAAGAGCTTTACAGTTCAACGAAAAGCAGCCATGAAGGAAGATGAGTTTAGATTATACCAATGGTGGGTTTGGTTTTAAGCACGTCTCCGAGCTTTAGCTTATAAAGAATGGTGGATTTTCCAGAACCATCGAGACCCACCATGAGAATCCCTAGTCTACACTGAGGCAGGAACCCCAGCCTCTTGGCAAGTCGAGCTATGGATGCCCCCATTTCCCAAAATTACCTCACCCCCTAAGAACCAGGATAAGACAATCAAAACTAAACTTATATGCGTTTTAAGTGTAAAGATTGAGGATTGTTTTTCCAACACGAAAACCTATGAAAGGGCAAAGAGACGACGGACTTCCCTTGTGTTGTAAGTCAAATACCATTTGCCTAGTGTTTGGCACTGTTGAAGAATATGTTCTGATTGAATAAAAGAATGTTAAGTCTAATTTGCTTTCTATGGCTTCTTGTCGCCATTACATGTTTTTAACATTAGTGGAGTAATCAGATTCCATTGAGCTAATTGCTTAAAACTTCAGCAGAGAATGTTTAATCCTTTAAGGTTCATGCCTGAAAAGAGTTCATTATTTGTTTAAGATTGGAAGTAGAATTAACTGTAAAAAGCAGAAAATTTCATCAATCAAAATAATTCACAATTTGGTAAAAGGAAAGGTCCTACTACATTCATTAAAATCAGATGAAAATCTGTGTTGCAAACCTCAATTATTCCTTCTCCCTCCCTCTCATCACCCTAAAAACGACACAGCACACTCAAATGATAAGTTTCAAAATTGAGCACTACAATACAATGTAGTATAAAAATGCCCAACCATCCCTGATAAGGAAAAGTTATGTAGGTAGTAATACAGCCAGACTACAACTTGAGGAAAACGAACTCTTCGATGGCAGGGACTTCACCAATCCTCTTCAAACTTTCCATGCTGGGTTGATCATCGACTCCAATGGCCATCACTGCATGCTTCCTAGGGAGCAACCCTCCCAACACTCATGAAGCTCACGTTCACGTTCTCCTCACCCAAAATACTGCCAACCGTGCCAATCATACCTGGCTGATCAACCTGCCTGCAAAGTATAATACTACCCTCCAAACTCACATCCACTTCGAATGACCCAACTTTTGTCAGATGGGGAACTCCGTCCTTCACCCTTCCTTCAACCCTAATCTCACCGGACTCTGACATGGCACTGGCAAATTTTGATTCCACGTTTGCAATCTGAACTTGGATGGACTCCAGTGGACTCTCTGGTGAACCATCTAAATGGACACGTTCCTCTGTAATCCGCAGTCCTCTCTGTTTAGCAGTGAAATCAGCATTAACCAGGTTCACAAAAACACTGGAGATTGGCTCAATTATGCCCTTTGTGATCATTGCACGGAGCAACCTAGTGTCAAAATCATCTGGAGCTCTAGAGGTAGCATATGATACTTTCACAGTTTTAACACCACTTCCACCTGCTACCAGTTGGACAGCCAACCTCCCAAGTTTCTCAGCAAGTTCGACATATGGTTTCAACTCTGTTAGAACCTGTAGAGGAATAACGGAAAAAATCTTGACTGAATATTAAAGTAAAATAAATAGCAAAATTAATATAACTCATTGTACCTCTGCAGGAACCATTGGTGCATTGACTGCAGTTGCGGCAAGTTCCCCTTTCAAGGCTCCAACAACAGCTTCAGCTATTTCAATAGCCACTCCTTCCTGAAAAGCATACCAATGATTCATTCAATAATCCAGTTCAGAAACAAGTGAGACATGGATATATGCACACTCAACAATTAACTAACCTGAGCCTCCATTGTACTAGCACCCAGATGAGGAGTGACAGTAACCCTCTCATGCTGCACCAACTTGCTGTCTGGTTTTGGAGGCTCCTGACTGAAAACATCAAGAGCAGCCTGAGCTACAATCCCATCATCCAATGCCCTCACAAGAGCCTCTTCATCAATCACTCCTCCACGAGCAACGTTGACAATTCGAACACCTTTCTTCATCTTAGCAAATGTCTCGTCATTGAGCATCTTATTAGTAGCAGGAGTGAGAGGCATGTGAAGAGAGATGAAATCAGCAGTCGCTAA